TAACTACAACATATCCATTTATTATTTTATATGCTTTCTTCTTCATTAAACATCTAAATACAGTAAACACTCACTAATAAGAACCTGTGGATTAAGAACCTTTTGGCGGAAATTTGCCACTTTAATCCAAAAAATACAAGAACCTGTTTAGCCTAGCCTGCGTTGCAGCTGGCTCACGTACTCATCTAAACCATTTGTATAGTCCATTTGCGAATTAGTGCTCAAAAGCTCGTTCTAATATCCTCCCGAGTCACAAAGACATATGTGAGCATTTCTGATAGGCAGGTTTCTTACGTGTTTCTTAAGCACCTCACGATTGCCCTAATTCTTATGTGTGCGTGACAACTGGACGCAGTGACATGTCAAAATTCACAGAAGGGAACTGGCAAACAATGAAATAGCAGTTCAAACTTTAAAGCCTTCTTCGGCACAAAAAAATCAGGAAATCATGATCTTCACAGCCAAAAATAAAGTCTACTACATGTGGCTATTCAGGTCCTGGCATTTCAGAGAAACCAAAGAAACTAAGGTTATATTTCGCCACAAGAAGGAAGCCTAAGGCTTCAACAGAGGTTAAAGAAAATCATTTCATGGTAAACTGCATCTGTGATCAAATCCTGTCAGAAAACATCTGCAGAAACATAAACCATGGGAACTATTTGCTCAATATGCATGGAAGCGACCAGCTTCCTCAACCTCTAAATGCGAGACTCAAAGCGGTAAAATCAAATTTGCTCAGTGTAGAGTAACTCCATGCACTGCATAAACTATGCAAAAAGAGAGCAAGAAAAACCTCTGTTGTTCAAGTTGACTTTACGGTCACCTTTTGCACTATCAAAAGCTCAATCTCCCTTCTCACAAACTATATGTATAGGTTATTTCATGGTTGGTGAGCACGTACGAGCGGTGAGCGCGAGTGAGTTTGTTTTACACAACGAGTGAATAAAAATCGTACAAGCGAACTAACTGTGAAATAACGTATTTATTATATACATACCGAGATTCATAAGCAAACAGAACTCAAAGGTTAACATATCTTTATTTTCTTTCAAAGGAAAACAACGCGCGGTCAAGGCGCCTCACAGTTCGAGAGTTTCACTGAAATGGCTTCCTTGTAATAAAAATAATTTAAATCTAAATTCTCAAGCAAAAATGCCATTAAAAGGCAGAACTAGTCAGAATAAAATAAGAAATCCTGAAAATATGTCGTAATAGTTCTACGGAAGTTCAAAATCTGAAATACAGAAGTGTTAACTCGAGACTTCATTTTTTAATGCTTATCAGAACCCGCGTGCTTGAATTGACAAACACTAGTCAGAATCAGCAGAATCCGAATCAAGAGGTTTGATTCTTTTATAAGTTTTGCTAGGGTTTTCCTCTAGCACTGAAAGTGTGTGCGATTGATTTAAAGTGTTTATTGCCACACTAATATGTCCTCAGCTTATTACAGCACCTGAAAAAAGAGAAAGGGGCTGCTGTGCTCCTTGCTTGCTTTGCTGAGAAAAAGTTGGACGAAATGTTGGATAAGTGAGTTCGTCAAACTCGTGCTTTCTTTTCTCAGGAATAGAAGAGCCAGACTGGGGAGCTATTTCTCCCAAAATCAGTCCAGTGAGAGTGTGAAACATGTTCAACTGTTGTTTCTGTGAGACGGTAGAGTAGCTAGTGATACTTTGAACATTTTTGTGTGCTGGCAGTTGCATGAAATCAGTTGGCGGCACGTCGTTGTTGAATAAAGTTTGAATCATAGTTTTTCTACCGCTGTGGTTTTTGAAGTTTGGCCCGAGTTCGGCTTTCTGTGCCATTGTTTTCATTAAGGTATTATGCTTATTTACACGGACTGGAGCTTTTTTGAACCAAGGTTTGCCGAAGCCAGATTTTACATTTTTTACTGCCAAGTAAAACGGTGCATCGTCGGTTTTCATTTCCGCGGGTCGCTTTTCTGCGTAGACTTTGTGGGCCTTTACTGGACATTTCTCGTTGTTCAGCACAGCAAACATTTTCGGTGCTATGGTTCTTACATTCCGAGGATTGTTTCCTGAACAAGTTTTGGTTCTCTTTCATTGAATTCGAGGTACTCCTGCCCTGTGGAAGTTTGACAAAGTTTTATGTCTCCTCAACACATTTCTCTGTGCTTCTTGCAGCCCCGTAACCCGACATGGATTGTGTTGTTGAACCACACCGTGTTTAAAAGCGCTTCTGCCGTGGAACTTCCCAAGAGATCCTTTTCATACAGAACTTGAATATCTTCCTCACTTAAAGCAGAAGAGGCATTAGGCTTGTTGCCTTTGCCTTTCCATTTTAGATCCCTTTGCTTTGACTGAGGCGCTTTCCGAGTTTGCTCGAACTGGACGTCTTTCATAAGGCAAAGTCCATAGTTTTTTTTTCTGCAAATGGCGCTCAAAGCTAGCAAAGAATGTCCTTAAGGAATTAGGCTCGTATTCCTTGTTGTCTTCTTTTTTTGCCAGCCGTTATAAGGAACTCGCTGAGAAACTTGTTCAGCTCTTGAGGAGTCAATTCATCCATTTGTCTCGTCTCGCCTTTCAAAACAAGAAATTCGTGGAACAGAGCAACATCGTGTTTGGTCTTTTTCTTGGTGTTTTCATTTCCCTGTCCGTCTGTGAACTCTTCTGCTGATGAATCTATAGGCTCTGAAAACGGTTAGTCTGATTTGAAGCCATCTTTCTAAAGAAAAATGTGCCTATGCTCTTGGAAATGTGCTATTGTCAGTCAAGAGGAGCAGCGAGCGAGCGACATGGTTTTGTTCACAAATGAAAATAATGATATAGCCACAACCAGAGTGTCGATACACCGTTTTTCACTAGTGAAAAAAAGGGTATGACCAATCAGCTGGCTTCTCTAGCGCGAAGAGAGTATTTTTGTCTCGATGCTTTTTGGCGCGTAAATCTCGGTATGTATGTAATAAATATATATATTAGTCATGTTTGGCCTGTCAGCACTTAATTCAAATCAGAGTAATGATATTAAACTGTGTAAAAAACTAGCCAATCAAAAATGCCGACATATGTCCTTGCGACGCTGCGGGATTCAAACACGATATTGTGCACTAATTCGCAGACGCTCTGCACAAGAGGTTAGAGCGTCTGCGATGCAGGCAAGTTTCGCCAAGCAAGATCATCATTCCAAGTTAAGCTTAAGTTGTAAAAAGGGGGGTCCCCATGAGTTGTAATCATAGGTCTCGGCTGCTTAAGAAATGAGGAGGCAATTACATCTACATGAAGCAGGATTTCCTCGCGAAAAGTTTTTAACTTCCTACTTTTTCGACAGTCAAGTATGATCTTCAGGATATATCGTATTTGACAATTTGTTTCTGAATTGATTTAGTGTATGTGTATAAGTACACGAAAATTAAGGGCCTAGATTCAAGAGAAATTACATCATTGCCAGAAAGCAAAAAAAAGTGATGAACATAACATGTCATTTCAGTCATCGCTGAAAATGAAACAATGAAAGTTTACAACACCCGGCCAGTTAGCCTCACCATCTGCACCATTGATCGAAGTTTTGCTCATTAAGATTCTTCTTTTTTCGACCACTGAGGTGTTCACTTGTTCCAAAGTAATCAGCACTTTCAAGCGATCGAATTCATGGACTAGCTGCCTGTTCCAGAAAAGCTGAATCTTTTGCATAAATCTTTCCTTAGCTTTCTACATGCACGGCTCCAGTCATGCTTATCCCCAGTTTTCATGGTCTCCCAGACGTTCAACCCTGAGACCTTGACTCTTATTTTGTGGAATTAAAACAAAGAAAAAAAATGTCTTGCAGATTGTGAGTCTGCAATCGAGACTAACAAGAAATTTGGTAATCAGGTTTGTTAGGGCTATATGTATAATAATACAATAATTGTATTAATATTAATATTATTAATATTAATTAATAATTATTAATAATTTATTATTATTAATTAATTATTGTGAATAACTAGAAAGTTAATGTATTTTTCTGATTTTAAATCAACAAAGTATCTCCTTCATATGTAAAAAAAGAACCTACATAGCCTAAATTGCCAATAAGTACCCCAAAATACAAGAACAGTATTTTAACACTCTTCAAAAAAGCAGGTTTTTTATTTCGCGTGCTACTGTACCTCATTTGCAAGTTTTATGTAAATGATTGGCTACCATGGCAGCTTGATGCATCAAAACAATAGGTTCATGAGGAACTGGAGTGAGTTCACTTGATTTACGTAAAAACTTTTAATGAGCACCCAGTGCTGTGTTTACGTTTGATAATTTACCAATTATTTACTGAGGTTATGTTAAAATGCCTTTCATGTTTAGTGTCAGCAGAAAATACATGTACATTTAACAATAATAAACTTGCAGTGACTCTAGGAGCTATTACATGTATACCTGCATTCATGAGAAAATGGCAATTGTTACCCTCCATACCAGGATGTGGTTTATACTTCCTCCCACAGAAGGCATCAGAAATTCCAGTGGGAAGAGGGTCCAAGAGGAGGCAATTTCCAAGGGGGTGGGGTCAGATTCTCAAGGTCTTTCTTTCCAGGGACTTTGAAACAAAAATTATTGTTTTTATTGGTGATCTTACATTAACAGTTATAGCTGAATGCTTTTTTCACAGCTAACCTGTGTGATTTAGTCTACACGTATCTAATATAAATGTCATCCGCTCATGAAAAATGCTGGTCATCCAGCTCATTGCTTTATATTTCACAATATAATTGTGGTATTCACTGTGTTATGGTCATGTTCTATCAGCCTTCTTGTAACTTGTTTTTTAAAAACAAGTTAATAACTGAAATGAAGTAATTGTTTACTGTTTAATGGTTCTTACATAGATGCTCTCATAGTACACGTACATGCACTGGACAAAACTGTTCTGGATTGATGTTATATTACACAAAAATAAAAGACGCCAATTATATTTTTCTCTTTTGAAGTTTATCAAATTCCACACATGGGGAAATATTTTCATGTTGATCACGCGAGGGGGACTTGAATTTTACAGCGTATCCAAACATGGTAACGAAATCACAAAGGTATGCAAATCACGTGATTTCTAAGAAACAAAACAAACAAAAAAAATGAAGGGTTGTTGTGTTAAGAATATCGCGACATTTTTGTGGATGTTTTGAGAAGCATTCAATGGGAAAACACAAGGAAAACTTAAGGACAGTCTACAACTTATTTGACCACTGAAATATGACACTTTCTACAGACTCTCGTCATCGTAAAACTCTTCTTGCCGCTGGATCGGTCTTCCATCTGTTTTGAAGATAGCAGCCTGTTGCTCACGCTCCATTCCAGCAGCCACGAAATGCTGCTGTGTTAAAGCGTAGTCGGCCAAGAACTTCAGACACTGCTATTTGGACGTCACTAATAGTTGCTGGGCCATATTTCTTGGCTCTTCTGCCAGGAGTTTGCCATTTAGTCTCACTTTGTGTTGCACAACAGCTTGAAACAACTCTGTGGATTTGCCTCGTGGTCCTTCATTGGTAGCATATAATATATGTATCACAGCTTGAATCTTTGACTCTCATAACTGCTAATGTATGAAAGGATTATACTGCTGCACGTCAATGACTCGATCCAAGTTTAATCTTTGCTGCAAGATTTATTTGGACACAACATTCTAACATGACAACACTTCTTTTTCATCGAAAAACACGTAGTGATTTGTTTTTCTTAAAAATTACCTGATTTTGTGTACCTTGATGATTTTGTTACCAAGTTTTGATACGCCGTAACGCAATTATTCCTTGTTTGATCAACATGAAAATGTTATTCCACGTGTGGAATATTGTGTAATGGGTCCTTATAACTTATTTTATTTTTGTATAATAAAACGTCAATCCAGAAAAGTTTTGTCCAGTTTACTATGTGTCTTTTAAGGTATTGCCTCCTTGGTTGTCAGTGACATATGCCTGTACTCACTGCATGCTGGTAATAATTAACAAAGAAAGGCCTTTACATGCAAGCTAAAACTGAGAGCATTAGACACTCTTTTAAGATGAATAAAAAGATTTTTCCTCTCTTTATCGCAGAAAACATACAATTATCTTTTGCATAAAAGTATAGTGCGACAGCATTTTTGATGAAAATATTCTCTTCAGGGGGGTCTCAACCAAGTTCCCTTGCCCCGTGTTTGTTTGGTGAAGTTAAGCTCTGTCAGGCGGGGTTATTAGTAGTGGGATGGGTGAGACCTTTTGGGATATAACATGTAATATACTTTGACTTTAAGTTTATTTTTCAAAAGAAAGCAGTTTATTGTTTAACATGCTGATACAGCATGTTGTTTTTATGTAAATACTAAAAGTTTTAGAGTCAGAAGAAATCGCAAACGACTTATTCTTTGATCATATTAGTGCGTTTATTGTAAATAGCTAGGGGAAGGGTTGAACTAGAGCTGACAGATAGTGCTGCTTTTTATATCATCTGGCTTGTTTATAGCCTGCAGTGCAGACAGCCCACGTAATGTGTACAGTATAGATATAGTTGGTTTAAGGTGACTCGACCCAGTTTTTTTGGGGGGGTACCATCCTACTTTGAAGCTCTCTGGTATCCCCACCTTTACTTTTATGGTAAGTCTAACACATAGAATGGATAACATATAGATTAATCTACAATATATAACATAAATTTTTGGCGATCGGAGTAAATGTCACGTGGTTATAATGCCACGCCCCTTTGAGGTCTGAGTCGAAAATCGGCTGTTGTTGTTGTTGTCAACAAATAGCGAAAACTATAATTTCTATATGTTTGCTTTGCTCGAAATCGCGCGCATTTACAAGGCCCTAAAGCGTTTTGCTGACTTGCAAGGACCCATCTGTTATAACGATGCCCAAAATATAGAGATGAATCTCACAGTTTATCATATATAATCCGTGTAAAGTTTGCTTATCATTTTCGCATAAATTATGACCTAAATTTGGAAACCGCTGAATTTCTCGAATTGGGTCTTTGCGATTTTGGTGAAACTCTGTTCAGCGCAAGGCACTAATGCGCACTATGTGTAGCCGAGAGATTTTCACAAAAAAATGCCGGCAACAGCCGATTTTCGACTCAGACCTCAAAGGGGCGTGGCATTATAACCACGTGACATTTACTCCGATCGCCAAAAATTTTATGTTATATTGTAGATTGATCTATATGTTATCCATTCTATGTGTTAGACTTACGATAAAAGTAAAGGTGGGGATACCAGAGAGCTTCAAAGTAGGATGGTGCCCCCCCACAAAAACTGGGTCGAGTCACCTTAAAGAAGGTTTAAAGTGTCTACGGCGCAGGCTAGCCTGTTTATAGCACAGTATTGTTGTAAAGTGCAATGAACTCAACCAGAGCACTGCACCCAATAACAATCAGCCAATCACAAGTCATGTTCACAAGGACAGTTAGTTGCATGTCAAAAACAACATATCTCTTTAAATCTCAAAGTGCCACCGCCCAAGTGTGTTCACTGCAGTGATATTAATTCAACTTAAGAAAATTTTGTAGGTTTTAATAAATTGTATATTACACTTGAAAAAAGAATCAAAATTTTGTTGAGCCATTAGCCACGCAGTATATATATCTGCTAACAACCTAATCCATGTTGGTTTAATTAAGCAAACAGTGTAATTGATCATCCTCTTTTGGGACACCTTCATTCAGGAGACACAAAATTTGGTCCCGGAAAATGCGCACATAATCTTTGTATTTATTACCTCAAATAAAGAGACGAGTGACCTCTATTCAGAGGAAAAGGACATTTTTTCTGGGTCCGGAAAAAGTGGAAGCTTTCACAAACTGAACTATCTCACGTAAATCAATGAAATGCATGTGTGAATTCAACATATAATTATAGCAATAACATCTGTTCAACAATTTTATTCAGTATTATCATTTTTGTACAGGCGTTAACAATTTAAAAAAATTAAATTAAATTAAATGAAAAAAGGAAATAAAAATAAAATAAAGAAACTAGAAGGGAGTTTAATATACCACAACGGTGATAGCCACAAAAACGTCGCTTAAAAAGTGAATTTCCATTCTTTCAGTCTCTATCGCGATTACTCCAACTAATTCACTTTGTCAAATGTAAAATCACTAAGAATCATATTCAAGTCCAGGAAAAGGGGCGTAGCTAGGATTTTCAAGTGGGGGGGGGGTTTGTGTCTAACCCAGGGTACTTACCAGATTGGCATGTCCAGGCTATGTTTTACTAAACATGACATTTGGATGAGCAGTGAGCGTAGATGGATCGACAAGCCTACAAAATAGCTGCATAGATTAATTAAGTTCCACATAGCATAAATTACTCTATTTTAGTTATGAACAAGAACGTGGTCCACTGTAGATGTTCGGTCCTTCAGATGGACTTAGTAACAATCTAGCACTGCCCTGGAAAAGATTTATTGCATGTTGATTCTTCACATTCGCGCGTTTTGGTCACCTGAATTATAGGAACACAAAACAGTTATCTCGCAAAAGGGGGGGGGGGGGGCATGGGTACCCCAGCACCACCCCCTAGCTACGCCTTTGTCGTGGTCATGCAGTGATGGCAAAAAAAATGTCCAAGAAAGCGTGATGCAGGTGCAGAGTTGTGGCTTTGCCTATTCATTTCAACCTATACAGCGTTTTCACATGACCTCACGGTGGCCATATTGGTGTTCCAAAACAAAGAAACGGCGGCCATGTTCAGTGATGTTGGTGTTCCAAACCAATCAGGTGGGAGTTGAACTCTTTTCTTACGTAAAAAATTTCTTTTGTTCCCATAAATTTGCATACATTTGTAGATGCTGGCCACGTGAGTGAAAACTCTCTGTTGCCTTTTTGCCGTTCTCTTTGTCGTCGCCGTTGTGGCATCTTAAAGTCCCTAATGATGATTTTTTATGCTGTCTTTGTTGGTTAATTATTAACAAACCCCAGCCCAACCTCTGATCAGGGGGAACCTCTATTCAAGGGACACTTGCTTTGGTCCTGAGGGTGTCCCCTGAATAGAGGTTTCATTGTATTTGTTTTATCTATTGCTTCAAGTTTGATTTTTTTTTTTCACAGCTCACTTAATAACTTTCTGCGCTTTGCACTGTGAGCCTGTCGACTTTCTTGATTGGTATTATCATAATAATCTTTGATACCTAAGACTGACTTTATAAGCTCCATTTCTTGTACACTGTACAAGTTAAAATTCACACCAAATAGTATTGCGTGAAACCCGAAATGGTAAGAGCGACAATCCCTATTTTTAAGTGAAATTTACTTGACATTATAAATTCATTCTTCAGGTATTATTAAGTCAGTCCGATAATGAATTTTTTATGTGTCTTGCATAATAATATTTATCATCTTTATTTAGCCTTTTAACACTTATTATCCTGGCCCCTTTTTTCAAATTGTAATCTTTCATCTACTGTTGGGGAGAGAAGATGTTGCCTGACTTGCTCATGGTATACCCAAATTAGGTCTGGGGACGGGCCAGGGACCGCATGGTCCAGTGTATCCGCACATCATAAGGATTGGTTGCAAAAACAAGGAACAAACAAAGTAACCGTGGAACCTTAGCCCAAAACAAAAGACATATGGGGATCCAAATATATATTAGAGGTTCTGAAGAGCTGCAAGGCTACTGTTATGACAAATGATTTTGAGCTGAACATTTTGAACAAATTTTCCTATAACTGATGGCGCACCTGTTTATAGTGGTACTACTGGGATCTCGGTTAAATGGAGTGTGAATATAGTTGTATTCAGCTGTAATTTTACGATACAGTAAACACTCACTAATAAGTATGGTAGAATAGGTTCTTGTATTTTGGGGTACTTATTAGCAATTTAGGCTATGTAGGTTCTTAATTAGGTTCTTAATTGTTATGAAGGAGATGATAGGTTATGTTGATTACCAGAAAAATAATTCAAACTTTTATTTATTCACAATTGTGTTATTATAACCCTAACAAAAATAGTTACCGAATTTATAAACAGTTTATAGTACAGTATGTTTTCGTTGTTCGGCTAGATATTGCTTGGCTAAACAGGTTCTTGTATTTTTGGGAATTAAAGTGGCAAATATTATTGCCAGGAGATTCTTAATCCACAGGTTCTCATTAGCGGGTGTTTACTGTAACTGCCCCTATATAGTCAAACCTGTTTTAGCGAATGTCAAAAAGCGGTCGCCAAAGTCCTGGAAATAGCTTCCCTTGATTATTGAAAGAACTGTTTGAGCAGCCGTGGTCACGTTTTTTGGAGGTCCCAAAGAGTATTATAGTACAACCCCCGTTAATACGGTCACCAATGGGTCAAAAAAATTTAGTCGTAATAGCAGGTTACCGCATTAACGCTTCTTTTTTATAAGAATTTAAAATGTATGGCTGTTCTGCCAGGTCGGGCCGGAAAAAGGTGGCCGTAATAAGTCGAGGTGGCCGTAAGGCGGTGTTCCACTGTATTAAACTGCCCCTTTTGGCAAGATGTGCCATACTCTTGAGTGCAAAGGGATAGACTGTGTAGGCGTTTTGTGGTCTTTTAGAGACTTGCCAATAATAATTATGATGATGAACTTTGTTAAAGTCTCATGTGTTATAGCTCAGGCACAGTGCCTTACTAATTGGGGAGACTGTATCATATTTATAAACTCTACTAATATATTGTAAATTATAATTATAATTTAAACTCTAAATTCTAGTTCTAATAAATTTAATAACTGCCTAATAATATCTCTGAATCGTAAATTGAGTAACTCTAAAAAAGAGTAAAATGGTGAGGCGAACTAATACCAGCCCCAAAAGGCGAAAAAATGGGATATTCTGAACCTAGAGCTGGCAAAAGGGGTGAGAAATGGGTAGAAGAGTAGTGAGATTCCCCATAATTCCTAGTGGAAGGCCTTTCAGTGGAGATTATGGGTATTGGAAGTCACTATATCACTTAAAAGCTGAAGCAGTAAACTTCGCGATCAATATCACTATTTAGGTTTTGTAATTTCTTTGTTTTGTTGGCGCCATCTTGAAACAAGAGTAACAGTAGGTCTGCATGCACATTGGTGGCAGCGGTAAGTTGCGCAGTAGGCTAAAAGAATAGTCGCGTTTGATTACATTCTATTTCCGCTTTGTTTGGGTTGAGCTGGCCATCTATTGATATCTAACTTGCAAACGAACCCTGGCTCCAAAATGTTTTGGATTTGGACTCTTTCAGAAATTAAGCGTGAGAAATGAGTTGTCAACTCGTGAGAGCGTGAGACAGGTCCTAAAAGACGTGAGACTCACGACAAAAGTCGTGAGACTTGTCAAGTCTGCTTTTACTCCCTTTCTTTTGACACAAGAGGGCTGCTACCAACAGTTTGAGGTCAATTTGTCGTGAGATAGATATTTCGCTCTTTCACTATCTTCATTTCCTTGAATATTAACTCTTAGGTTTGTAAACCTGTCAACCTGTAGTAAGCCGACGTTGAGTAAGTCATTCCCAAGGATGAACGCTTTATACAGGTTTGACTGTATTACTTTAATTATCATTATCTTTCCTTACCGTTTCAGTTTCACATTATGCCTGAATCTACAATGAAGGTCACCAATAATACAGTTACAATTACTGAACTATTGAGACGGCGTCCTCTTGAAAGGGGACAAACTGTTCAACTAAAAGATGCTGATCCAAGTGAGCTTCAGCTTTTTATTGAAAAGATGCCCGCCTCTACCAAAGGTAAGACTAAGAGTATGAAATGGAATTCCCAATCCTTTGTTTGATTTTGGTTTTGTAACAAAGAGGCACATGGTTGAACCTCTAGCTGTAAGTCATATAGTGTATAAATTCAGGAAGATGAAGCTTGTGACGAGAGTTCAGTACGGTGAGTATAGTTTGGTGGTTAAACCCGTACAAGCAGTCAGACAATGATACAAGCAGCCCAAGCTTATGGTGTCAGGAGTTAGTTAGGTTTTGGTTTTTGAATTTTAAGGTATTTGATTCAACCCCGTACAGGTAGTCAGTCAATGATACAGGCAGTTGGTGTGGGTAGTTAAATAAACCGTAAGTTTGTTTTTTTGAATTTAAAGACGTATACTGTGCAAGGAAAATAGGGCTGTCATATTTAAACTTTCTAAGCGAAATATCCAAACGCAATGATGAGCCAGTAATAAAAACAGAGTTTTAAAAACGGTGTTAAGCAAAATCGCGTTTTAAACGCTTATAAATTTGGTCTACTTTCGGCCTTTGGCGTGTCTTTTATGCCGCAAAATATTATAATTGATAGAATTAGCGCAAAATGTAATGACATTAAGCATTAACAGCTTTTTGATCAAAATGTAGCAATCATATAAACTGAAGTGCAACAAATTTTTAGCGCAAGACGTAACAACTTCTTTCACGCGAAATGTTACAAAGCTAAATGTAACAAATAAAGCTGTTAAGAAAAAGAAAACATGTCAAGCGTGTAAGCCTCCTCTTTTAGAATTATCACGAGACCCGCCATTGAAAAATCTTGGAATATTTCTTTACACACTTTCGGAAGGGTAAATTATCGAGCAATTAAAATTACGAAACGAGGTGGGTCTAGGAAGGACTATTTTTTACTCTTCTTCCTGTTCTTTCAATAGGCTTACCGTGATTAGTCGATTAAAAGCGGCCTCGAATAAAAGATCAATTAACGGTGCTCTGGAATAAACGCCGCACACAATCAGAAGAATGCGGCGTTTATTTGAGGATTACAAAAGAAAACTCGTTACAACTGGTAATCTACACCATCCAGACAATTACAATTCTGTCTTGAAACTTTATGAAACATTGCGGCGTTTTTTTTTAGGTATGTCAAGCTGGTTCCTACATGCTTGTGCTTATATAATTATAGTCAGTTAACGTGACATTGCATGGCTTTAGATTTTGGTCAAAAGACAGTCGGTATATTCTCCCGGATTACTAAGTCTTGACTAATATTTATCCAGGTTTTGAGTGAGATGTCCTGCTTCACCTCAGGATAGGATATAGATTCGGTTTTTTTTTGTTCCGTCTGTGTAAAAGAGACATGAATGTCTGTTTTTCGATACTCCTTATGTGCCTTAACACAATAAAGAATGCAACAGAAAATTAAAGTTTTTCGTAGACACTTTTCCAGTGAATCTAATTTTTATCGGTATGGAAGTGAAGAAGTTTTTACTGTAACGTCTTTTTATAGTTCAAGAATTTAGTTGTTATATTTTAAATTGTAACTTCAAGGTTTATTTTTTAGAAAATATAAATGCAGATTTGTATTGATTATAACCGATCTGCTTCTAACACATATACAGACTATAAAATGAGAAAGGTACGAGTGATTCCTAGTTCTCAGTGACTGATTTAATTAACTACAGCAACTAATAAGAAACATTCGCAGCTACACAAACTACATCAACTACTCCAACCTACAGCAACTGCACGAACTACACCAAACTACAGCAACTACACCAAACTACACGAACGCCTTACCACCAGTGTCTCTGTGTATCACTAGACAGTACTCTTTTACCATTGCTGATCCAAAGCAGTATGTTGAACGCATGTCACACATAAATCTAGTATCTAGTACCAGTTGTTGTTTATTCTGTGTGTAGAGGTGTGTCCTCTGCCTTAAATCCTTTAAGGTACAGTTCGTTTTTTTTTCTCTTATTTAATTCTCATAAAATATACTCCCTCAGAAAATATGGAGGATCTACGTGGAGCAAGCGTACAAACGCCTACACTTGGTGGAGACTTCCCAGGGCCATCAAGGGAAATACACCAGCACGAAGCAACTTTAGAGAGGCAGCTCAGAGAGTTGCGGCAACGTGAAGAAAACTTACAAAGACAGCTGAGAGAAAAAGACCAGGAAGTAAATGAGCTAGAGTTAAGTCTTTCCTTAGCTCAGCAAACAATAAGTGAACAGCAACAACAGGAATCATGCGATTGGGTCATTTCCCGCGATGAAATTCAGCTGACCAACAGATGCCTTGGCAGAGGAGGCTGGGGAAGTGTTTATGAAGGCGTGTATTGTGGCTGTACTGTAGCAGTAAAACAAATTCATGATCTGATTCTCTCCCCTCATAACATACGTCTTTTTGAGAGAGAAATGAATATTGCATCCAAATGTCGCCATCCTCACTTGCTTCAGTTTATCGGCGCCACTAACGATGAGGGAAACCCTCTGTTTGTGACGGAGCTGATGGAGAAAAGTCTGCGAGCTCTGTTAGAACAGCGACAACTCGCCGAAGTAGAAATACGGGTAATCTCTCTGGATGTAGCCCGAGCAATTAACTACCTTCATCAGAAAAAACCAGAGCCTATCATTCATCGTGACATCAGCAGTGCAAATGTGTTGCTATGGCGACAGGGTGACCAATGGAGAGGCAAAGTGTCAGATTATGGCACTGCTAATTTTATACAGCAGACCATGACAGTGGCTCCTGGAGCTATGATTTACAGCGCACCTGAAGCACTTACGTCAAACCAAACAGTCAGGGTAAGTTTTAGTGAATTTAGAATTTTTTTTATTCAGCACTGCTTCATCAACACCTTCAGAATTCAAAGAGAAGCGTTGGTGCAGTCATCTTGAGCGCGTACCTACCTTAAGGCCAGGTTGTTCGTTTACGACACGAAAGAAATCCTACTCCACTTTACCCGTCTTCAGCTAGGCGTACAATTAGACGCAGCAAAATACATAATGTTGAATCGGATAGCCCTGTGCAGTGTGGAATTGGAGTATCTCTGGCTACTTAAGCCCTGGTCAAACGTTGGTAACGATGATAGCTTAAACCATCACCATTTGAACTCAAATGTACATGGCTCCATTATTATGGTCGTTTTCAGGTGTTTATGCCACAAAAACAAATTAAGCTGCGGGCGTCTGTTGTGATCTAAATGTTTCTCGTTAGTTCTTCAGTTAATCATTTTGGCGACTTCGCAGATAAAACTGATAGGTTGGTTTTTTAAACGTAATTCAACTTATGCCGCGGTTTAGGAAATCTTTGGACCCCCAGATCTCTTCCTTAGTGGGTTCTTTTAAGAAGATAAATGCTTTTCTTGTCCACCTTATATGCGCTAACGAAACTGTTCACGTTAAATGGTGTCTACATAAAAGCGTTCAGCAAACTAAAAATGGATTAAAACACGTTTTTGTTAACACTGACTAAACTGCGTTTAAATAACTGGTCTATAGAGGCGAACCTTTCTTCCACGACTGCCTTTTGAGAGAGTGACGTCCCTGCTTAAAAAGGTCACCTGATTGTAATAATTATACTCTCACCGGGGCCATCCGCAATCCGCAATGTCAGTAATGCTAATAAGATGTGAGAGGCCCAGCGCGAGGCAGTAGGAGCGGGTTGCTCCTTTTTCGAAAGCTATAATCACTGACAAAAATTCTTGCTCATTTGTCTTTAAGGAGCGCTTTTATGAACAATTTCTTGCTGTAAATCATACAACTTTAAATTCCAGCTCCTTCTGGGTATTACCGCCGACAATGGTAATGCAACATTTTGGGGCGGGTAGTAAACAAGATCAACTGCGGTGAAAAGAGTGAATCGGAAAGAGAAACTAACCTTATATAAGAAACCCAAAATGCACAGAAACGTATTACAGGTAGATTTCCACTGTCGCTTAATACGCGCGTATATAAAATAGAGGCAATATATAGAAGGTCACGCGTAAAAGAAAAGGGTGAACCTCGCTCAACGTGCGTAAAAATTTGCTAGCGTACGCACGTGAAAATTACGCGATAGAAGAAATCAATCCTTATAGAATAGGTACGGGCTATAGGCGGCGTGCTGGAGTAACAACATCTTTTTAAAAGACTCTCATTATTAAAGCTTATTAAGGGTGGATTTCCATTGACGCGTAATTTTTACGTGCGTACGTGCGTAAAATTTACGTTCGCAAGTGAAATAGGGGCAATGTTTGAAACGTCGCACGTAAACGTAAAGTTTGAACCTCGCTCAACTTTACGTTTTTTTGAAAAAAAGCTCAACACTTTATATCTTGCCTCTATTTTATTTACGAGATAAAAATTTACGTTACAGTGGAAATTTACCCTAAGTGACATTAAAACCAGAATGTAATACTGAACCAAAATGCTCCCAACAACGTTCGATGCTTAATGACCTTTATAGAGAGGTTATTTTGGCCTTCGGGACAGACTTTCGAGGTTTTTGTCCAGAGGTTCAATAAAAGTAAACATATTAACTGTCCGCTAGGACCAAGAAGATATTTATCAGTAGAGTTTCGACTGTAGAAGCAGATAGGCCAGTAAATAAATAATAACCACACTGTTCTTGTCTACTTCAGTTTTTTAGAAAGGGGGAGCGTGGCGGTGGAGGTGGATGCTTATTAACTTTTCTTCCCTACAGGATAGAATAGGTGCTCATTCGAGATGGGCTATATTGTAATTCGAGGCTGGGCGCTTAATTGAATAAATACGATATGTGTTAGACTTTATATTCCTTTATCTCCTGAGTTTGCTAAGGAACAGTCAAATGGAGACTCGAACTTAACCCCCTCCCCTCCCCCTTAATCTGCATAATTCTTCGGATCATACTCAGCTTCATCTAATAAATGTTAAATAGCTAAATAGAAATTAAAAATGACACTAAGTGCTGGGTATAACTGGTGGTAGTATAATAGGATGCTCTAAGGCAAATAACAAGAAATAATCTGTCTATTGTTCATAGGTTGATGTTTATAGCTTTGGTGTGCTTCTTTGTGAAATGTGTATCCGGCAACTTCCAGATCCTAGAAGGCGTGAACAGCAAGTTCTACTGATGACGAATCGCGCCCTAAGAGGCCTGGTACGGCGATGCCTGCAGACAGATCCTGAAGCGAGACCAACCATGCAGGAGATAATCGATGAACTGTCCAGAGCTGTGTAACGTCTATCAAATATTTTGTGAAAATTTTCGCAGTTGATAGAATTGAATTGCTAAAATGTCTATTGCAGGAAGTCGTGTCCAATTGTTTATCATGACAAAAGTCTTACTAGGAAAACAATTACTTAGGTTAAAAACAAACCACTTATTGGAAGTAGCGAGGACTTTTCTGTAAAATTTTAGTATCGATACCCTGAAGTTATACAGCTGTGTGTATTTTTTGTATTTCCCATCGTGGTTAATAGCAAATGCCGTTTTTGGAGTAACGTTGTTAAAAACAAAGTAAATTATAGGTCTGGGAGAAAACCACTGAGACGCTAGTCTATGCCCTAAGCTTGCTTATACGATGGTTAAATTGGAACAATAAAAAATAAATAGCTTTATTTTTCCATATGCAATAGATTACGTTACTTTACGGGGGCGTAGCCAGGATTTTTAAAAGGAGGCGGGAAGGGGAGGGGAACTGGGGAGGTCACGCTGTGTCACACCCAGGGTACTTACCAGATTGGTATGTCCACATCCAGGCCGTGTTTTACTACAAGTGACATTGTTTTGGATGAGCAGTGAGATAGCTGCATGGATTAATTCAGTTCCACGTAGCATAATATACTCTATTTTACTTGCGAACGAGGAGCAAGAACATGGTCCACTGCAGATGTTCGGTCCTGCAAATGGGGTAAGCAACAATCTAGCACTAGAAAAGATTGATTGCATGTTGATTCTTCGGTACATACAAAGGGGGCATCATGGGCACCCTAGGAGCAGCCCTAGCTACGCCGCTGTTTACATTCATTTTATTATTTCTTCTGAAGAAGTTTATAAACACGAAGTATACAATATATATATTTTTTAAATACTCTTATGATCAGAATTGGAGATACGAGTAGATATGGCAGTTATTACAAGTTGTAGAATATACAATTAAATACGCGTAGTAGTTACTAAATAGCAGTTATGTTACTGGAGTAGACGAGTTCCCTATGCCGGTAATAGGTAACTTACTCATGAAGCAAGGTTTACTTCAATTTCTATGTACTTATATATTTATTATGAAGTAGGTTGTAGACGTAAAATTGACGAAAGGTTCCGGCAGATATGTCGCCTACATAAAATTCAATTTAGGCTATATATGCCGTTGAATCCGTCGAGTAGTAAAGCCCATTAGGTATCCTATGAAATAGAATTTACCTAAATTTATGCAGTTGTAGTTACGTGCTTATGAAGTAGACAATGTTGAAATAGACAATATCGAGTAAAGAAACAATAAATTGTATCAGTGTTTTGGCTTATGAAACGTTTTACGCCGATTAAATCTGCGGAGTAGCTAGCACATTAAGCGATTGTAATATTAGACTTTCCTATCCCATAGGTAACTTACTTGTGAAAAGGAATATACCTTAATTCATAAGTTACTTATGAGGTAGGTCATGCAAATGAAATAGACAATGTTAAAAAGATATAGGATTAAACCTGCGTAACAGTAAGCGATGGTACATGTAATTAGAGTTATTTACAAAATCAATTGCACATCAATTCAGATTTGCTTATAAATTTAATCATCCGCTTAAAACAGACAATATTAATTAAAGAAACGAGTAGATGTTTCGCTTATATATGGTATACCATAAGAGTTTCTTAATTCAACAGATAACTCGACTTATAAAATAGGATTTTACCCAAATTCGTGTTATTAATTTACTTATAAAGTAGGTCATGTACTTCAAATAGACAACATTACAAGGAAACGAGTAGATATATGGCAGAGGCCTCTCTTCTTTCTTTCCCCTTCCCATCGTACCCCGCGCGCTCTCTTTTTCTTTCTCCCCAGTCCCCCTACAACACAAAGAGGTCTCTGTGGAGGAAGCCGTCGCTGTTTTAAAAAGCGTTCCTATTCAATACTAGGTTCAAACATTTTACAATGCGACTGGCGGCTAACAATTTGGTAAATAAATATATTTTGAAGCCCGTAAAGACCTCTTGGTTGAACATTGACCTTTTCTCGAAAATGAACAATCCTCTTCATTCATTTAGGAAGTCCCAAGTAAGATGAGCTGCCGTATCATCATGTCTCTTGTCTTAAGGTGACTCGACCCAGTTTTTTTGGGGGGATACCATCCTACTTTGAAGCTCTCTGGTATCCCCACCTTTACTTTTATCGTAAGTATAACACATAGAATGGATAACATATAGATCAATCTACAATATAACATAAAATTTTTGGCGATCGGAGTAAATGTCACGTGGTTATAATGCCACGCCCCGTTGAGGTCTGAGTCAAAAATCTGCTGTTGCCGGCATTTTTTTGTCAAAATCTCTCGGCTACACATAGTGCGCATTAGTGCCTTGCGCTGAACAGAGTTTCATCAAAATCGCAAAGACCCAATTCGAGAAATTCAGCGGTTTCCAAATTTAGGTCATAATTTATGCGAAAATGATAAGCAAACTTTACACGGATTATATCTAATAAACCAAGAGATTCATCCCTTTATTTTGGGCATCCTTATAACAGATGGGTCCTTGCAAGTCAGCAAAACGCTTTAGCGCCTTGTAAATGCGCGCGATTTCGAGCAAAGCAAACATATAGAAATTATAGTTTTCGCTATTTGTTGACGTTTGTCGGCGTTTAAGAGTCAATCTCACGAAAAAAGCATTTTCTTAAAAATTCGTAGTTTTTTTTCCTTCAAATTTTTTCAGGGCCACAATTGATTAACTAACTACCCGGACTCTGAATTTCATGGTCGTTGAAAACCTGTGACATTATCTTCTATAAGCTCAAACTTGAGTAAACATTGAAGATTTTTAGCGTTTTGGCTGAGTTTGTGCTTTGGGAGTTGTCTATTGTTTCTAGTCTGTCGTTATACAGCATTCTTGTTCAGCACGCGTGCAATGACCGCGCTTGGCTGACTTCCGAATGCTCACTGAGATATTCCCGTCACGAGTTGGTTTAATTATTGGCTTGCATTAAACCTATGAAAAAATGATATTTTTTTAATAGTAAGTAGACTTAGTGTGTAGCACTTCTTGATTTTTTTGCAAAGACACAAGAAGCACGAGAATTGATTAAAAATTGTTAGTTAAACCTCTATGTATTACGCGATGGCCTGTCTCACTGTTCCAAATTTATAATATCTCGGTGAGCATTCGTTCATGATTTTTGCTTTACATAGGATCAGCTCAATTAATTAGAAGATGGGTTAAAATTGATCAGTTGTGAATTTGCTTTTCATTTTGATGGAATATTTTCAATAATCGTTTAACAGCTGTTCGTGTTGATATTTGTTACAGTCTATAATGGTGCCTGCATTGAGAATCTTTAATTTTATTTACATTTCGAATAAAACTTAAGGCCCCCCCTCCGTCAAATGAGTGATTTTACTTTGAGCCCCCTATCTTGGCAGCAATTTTATGTAATGCCCCCCACCTCCTGATAATTATTGCACAGTCCCTAACTGACCTCTTGCTCTTTACCACAAAACGTGCAAATGTAATTAAAACTTTGCTGGATATGACTGCAGCAAAAGAGAGTTTGGCAACTATGACAATGACTGTAAGCAGAAAAAAAAAACCCTGACTCGCAAAAATTTTCTCAAGTTGTCAGCTGAGGAGAATGATCAATACATCAGGTACATCAACATGTCCAGGCACTATATAAGCGATTATGTGGTGACTTTGACACCATACAGTGAAGAGGTCAACAAAACCGTTGTGTCCAACCGCGACCCGAAAGCACTCTTTCACAACGTCAGCAACTATGACTTGTTCGTGTGAATGCACTACTATGCTACGGTGGCCCAGAAGGGTCACACATGGGAATTAAAAATGTTGCTGCTAACTAAAAATTTTACCTGCAAATTAAAAATAGGACATGCCAATTAAAAATTGTACATGCAAACTAAAAATATTACCTGCAAATTAAATATAGTACATGCAAACTAAAAATTGTGCTGCAAATTGAAAATAAAAAAACATATCAATGCAAATTAGAAATGAAAAGTCCTGCAGGCGCAGTATGAGTGATGAGGACCTGGTCCGAGCCATGCGACCCGGCCTTACAGCCGTCGGCCTATTCATGTTTCATGTTTGTAATATTTTTAGTTTGCATGTGCAATTTTTAATTTGCATGTCCTATTTTCAATTTGCAGCAACACTTTTAATTTGCATGTGTGACCCTTCTGGGCCACCGTACTATGCTGCGCGAGACACCAACATAACATGACAAGGGCAGCGCATGACGGGCAGGGGTTTCCTACGTGGCATCGACTGTACATGTTGGCTTGGGGAAAAAAACCTTGCAGGAAGTTAGTAACGATGAAAAACTTTGCTCTTCCTTATTGGGACTGGACCGGAAGTAAAACACAATTGATCCCGCTATTTGTTCTGAAGAGCTTCTTGGTGTAACAAACCAAGTTGATAGAACTGTGAAGGGCAAATACTTTGACAACTGGTACGTCATTTGCAGCAATGAACAATTCCTACTTCCTGACAAAGATGTGTGTCCCAACGAACAAGAAACCTGGTTTAATTTAGAACGGATCAACGAGAAGGAAAACTAACGGGAGAAAAAGTAAGGAAACAGGGATATACAATGACATTTCCAACCAAAGAAGATGAAATTTTGCTCTCCAGTTTAAGACTTTTGACCTGCCACCCTATGGCAAAGAGTCAAGCTGCAATTTTAAAAACATCCTGGAAGGCTACTTCAGTGCAAAGACCGGTTATCGTTTGCCTAATGTTCACACCTTACACAACCAGGTTCACATAGTCGTGGGTGGAGCCATGGGAGATGTATCTTCTGCGTCAAACGACCCGGTCTTTCCTCTTCATCATTCCTTTGTGGATCGTATCCGTCTGAGAAATGGCTTCGCAAGTTCAACAAGAGCGCTTCGTTTCTTGGAACATACGATGCACGCATCGGACACAGCAAAGATGACATCATTGTACCACTTTATGCTGTGTATACTCATCCACAGATTTTTAAGAAGACGAGTTCGGTTATGACTACG